AGGAAGGCTTTTTATTGAATGGCGATTTTGTGGAGCTTATTAACATATGCAACAAGAGGTTCCTACAAAATGTTTTGCAGTTATTTAATGTGAACATTCCATATGAATGAATACTCAAATGCTTTTGTTTTAAGGGTGCATGTTAGAACCAGACTAGCTTAGTCACACCATTGTATGTCTAAGATCCAAATAAGGCTTAGGAAGAACCATATACCATGTTAAATGCAGCATTTCAATATTAGGTGTCTCGTAGATCATTCAAATGGAAGGTACATGTGCACATTTTAATCAATAAATCAATTCAAGCTGTGATCACTACAGCAACATTATAGCATGCATTGCTAAAAGTCTAACTACAAAAAATGTCAATTCATCTGCCATATACCCATCAGAAATAGGGACAGAAATATTTTGAAATATGCACATATCCTAACCATTTAAATATGAAAGCTTGTTACGAATCTGTCAGTCTGATTTGAATTAAAATATAAGACATTGAGTTAAATTTCACACATTAGCCTGAAGACAAAAGTATTTAAACGTTTTATCGTGAGGTTATTTTTCTAAATAACTTTCCAGTGACCACCTTTTTAACTACTCCAACAATTTGTAAACATAACCTTTGTAGGCTCAGTTTTGTGCCCATTTATAACAAATGTAAACTGGCAATGCAATGTAAGAATTTGGCAAGCATTAACAGCTTTAAATGAGACTGTAAATGTCATTGACAGAAATCAACCCGATTGGGTGGAATAGTGGAGATGTCAAGGTGTTCAAATATTATGGGGAATATTACTTAGTTGCCTTGGAGATCAAGTCAAGGGAGAAATTTTGCTCAGAATTTCCTTTGAAAATTAAATAATTTAGAGTGAGTATAAAAAGAAATTGTACTTAGTGTGTGGAATCCACAAATTGACCAACTAAATTGCCTTCTTGTACTTATTAATAGATCATTGTGAACAAACACTTAACATATTGCTATAAACAAATGTGTTCTCAAAGGAAAAATCATTTGAATGAACTATGTTCGAGCCATATTAGTGTGTATAACCTTGTTGCGTTCAATGTATATCATGAGGCACAATGAATGAGCTATTTAAATTAAATTGGGGAAGAAATTATGCCGAGGGTAAAAAGCACTTCAGGCCATTAGTATATTAAAGGAGCTCTGTACAGGTACCAATGGGATTGCATGCCTCTGGGGAGGTTGACAAAGCTGGTGCTTCCAAAAAAACTTTCCTACATTTTTTTCTATTTGAACATTGTACATTCCCACACCAGTTCAATGGCTGTTTGAGCATCTGTAGATTTTGTCCTACAGTAAGTTCTCACTTAAAGTTGCTGTCGCATTTCTGAAAATTGCACCTTTTAGCAAAACAACTTTAAATGAAGCATGGTTTACCATAGAAATCAACATTAAGGTTACTGCGAGGTTCCTGCAAAGTCAAGAACAAAGAACAAAGAACAAAGAAAATTACAGCACAGGAACAGGCCCTTCGGCCCTCCAAGCCTGCGCCAATCCAGATCCTCTATCTAAATCTGTCGCCTATTTTCCAAGGATCTGTTTCACTCTGCTCCCTGCCCATTCATGTATCTGTCTAGATACATCGTAAATGATGCTATCGTGCCCGCCTCTACCACCTCCGCTGGCAATGCGTTCCAGGCACCCACCACCCTCTGCATAAAGAACTTTCCACGCATATCTCCCTTAAACTTTTCCCCTCTCACCTTGAAATTATGACCCCTAGTAATGGAGTCCCCCACTCTGGGAAAAAGCTTCCTGCTATCCACCTTGTCTATACGTCTCATGATTTTGTAGACCTCAATCAGGTCCCCCCTCAACCTCTGACTTTCTAATGTAAATAATCCTAATCTACTCAACCTCTCTTCATAGCTAGCACCCTCCATACCAGGCAACATCCTGGTGAACCTCCTCTGCACCCTCTCCAAAGTATTCACGTCCTTTTGGTAATGTGGCGACCGGAACTGTACGCAGTATTCCAAATGTGGTCGAACCAAAGTCCTATACAACTGTAACATGACCTGCCAACTCTTGTACTCAATACCCCGTCCAATGAATGAAAACATGCCGTATGCCTTCTTGACCAATCTATCCACCTGCGTTGCCACCTTCAGGATACAATGGACCTGAACACCCAGATCTCTCTGTGTATCAATTTTCCCCAGGGCTTTTCCATTTACCGTATAACTCCTTTTACTCAGGGGAAAAAAAAAAATAATGTATAGGTTGATATACTGCACATGTGTATTCCGAGATGAAATAGCTTCCAAAATAATAAAACATTAAACATATAAGAAACTCTGTACAGTCAGGATACTCAGTACTTCAGGACCAATCTTAGCAGCAGCAAATTTAAAACTGTATACAATTGAAGCGGTGTACATTCCTAACTGCCCATATTCATAAAGAAAATAACCTTTAAAATAAAAAGCATTTAAAAATATAAAACACAATATAAATGCAAGCACATGCACGATAAAAACGACTAAATTACACTTGATGAACTATTAATAGATCCTGCTCCACCTAGTGGAAGAATTGGCCAGTGCAGGCAGATCTACCTGCACCTACCAATTCTGCAACTTGGTGGAGCCAAGAACTTCAGTGTGAACTCAGAATGACAGATAGAACAGAAACGAAGGGCAGAAGTGGGAGCCAGGAAGGTGGGGTGGCGAAACAGGACTGAGGGGCCTTCTCGTTTTCAAGGAGTATTGCTAATTCCTCGGACTAAATCGATTTGGAAAGAACGCAGGAATAGGGTACTGAGTTGGACGATCAGCCATGATTGTATTAAATGGTGGAGTAGGTTCAAAGGGCTGAATGGCCTACTCCTGCTCCGATTTTGTATGTTTCTATGAAGCAAGATAGGAGGAGAGCCGCAACGACTGAGCCTGGGAGCAGAATCTCTGAAAATTGACATGCAAGTCGGGAATCAAAGTCAAACAAAAATATGGTCACTACTTTATATTAAAGCAAAGCAATGAAAATGGAGTCATCTTCAACAGGGACTTAACTGTATAAAGTTATTTTTATAGAGTGTGGAGTAATTTTATTTCATATAATAAAATGCATCCTACCTGTGGTGTTGGTATATTTTAATTTGCCAGGGATAAATTAAGCATTGGTTAAAAATATACTGATGAATGTGAAGTAAATTCAATCATAAAGATGAAAATAGTAGTTTTTTTTGTTATGGAGGTAGGCAAATTAATGGGGATTGGAGTTACAACGGGAAATAATGTAATTCTCCAAGAACCAGCACACTCCAACAATTAAAAAAGGAAATACATGAAATCATATTGAATTGCCAAATTGATCATAATGTACACAGCTTATCATAAAAATAGTTGAAACTTTGTTTCTGTGCTAAGGGTAAGGGTTGTGTTTGTGTTGAATAATGAACATTTGGACTCCATTAAAACAGGAAGTTGAAGCATGAAGAAGCATTTTGACTTAGAAGGCCGCGACTGGTGTTCGTTATAGAATGGGAAGTTGGTTGTGAGATGGTGAAGTGCAATCACAATCAGTGTTTTCCTGAAGTTCAGATCGATGGCGGAGGAAAGAAGGAGAATGGTGCATTACACATGTCAGTAGAGAATGGGCAGCAGCGAAAACTAGCAGCAGATGTGAAGCCGGGTACCCTACACAGTAGATGTAAAATAGAAGGGATTGAACAGAGGTAGGATAATTGTGCTTATGGTAGCAACAGAAATAAGGAGATGGAGAACACAGGACTGAGAAGTAGGCCATTCAGCCCTTTGAGCCTATACTGCCCTTCAGTAAGATTATGGCTGATCTAAGTGTAGTCTCAAACCACCACTTTGTTCACCTCCCATAAACTGTGAGCTCCTTTTCTATCAGAATCCTATCAAACTCAGCCTTGAATAAATTCAATGATTTGCCCTTAATTGCTTTCTGGGACAAAGGGGAAAAAATGTGAGTGGCAGGAAGGAGCTGAAAAGTTGAAATAGCGAAACAGAAATGAGTGGGAATTGGAGAAGTTGTACATATTCTAGCCAGCTGAGCAGAGACACATTAGAAAACATCAGGGAAAGGGACAAATGGTCATTAAAATGCTCAGAGTAACGGTGTGCCTAGGTTGCAATGAACACAAAACAATCGAATTTTACATCTAGATTGAAAGGGAGAAGTGGATGTCAAAGACTAATATTTTAAACTTAAATAAGGGCAACTACATGACTATGAAAGCTGGGCAAGTAGATACCAATCTAGGAGAGAGATCACAGAGAAATAACGGCAGACCTACACAGAATAAATATATTCCTCCTGAAACTAAAAACCCCAAAATGAGGACCTGCAATCCAAGGTTAACTAGAGAAGTTAGAAAATACCAAACTGTGCAAAGATGGGGAGTTAATAGTAGATAATGAGGAAATGGCAGATGAAATGAACGTTTTTTGAAGTAGTCGGTTCTGATATAATGCGATAGTTCAGTTGTCATGTGACCTCGCATTAAGAAAATTGTGCATTAACTGCGACATTTAAAGTGATAGGGATGGAATGGCGTTATAGCCAATACAGGTAGGGAAAGTTTGCATTGTCCAAATAGCATTCTATAATTCTTCAATCGCGTTAAAACCAATTCGTGTTGAAGAAACACATGTTTTATCACATCTGACTGTATTCAAGAAATTTAAAGCTAATTCTCAATCAGAGGAGATTAGGTGGGTTGGTATCATGACTATGCAACCATTAACTGCTTACTAACTTGGAAGTCTCAAGTTGGGAGGACTCTGAAATAGGACGTGAAAACAAGCTTGAGAAATGAACAGATAGTCTCAAGCATAACAGAGAAACATGGTCAAAATCAGCTAAATAATTAGTGATGTCCATAAAATAGTTGAAAAGTCTACTATACGAATACTCAAAGGTTAGTCTTAATAAGATCAAATTATTCAATTAACAGGCAGTTAGATTCTATGAAATGTATACTAGAAGCTACAGTGTGGATACTTACTGTGTCCTTGACATTAATAGGGCACTTATGTTCACACAGCAGTTGAACAATGGAGATACAACCACTTCCAGCTGGAAATTAAAGCATTGAGTTATTGCAATGCCCTTCTATAAAAGCCATACTTGTTTTAATATCATTTAAAAAAATCATATTGTTAATTTGTACTACATGTAGGAGACCAAAATAGAGATAATGCTTTCTTGAATAAGACTATACATTTTCAATCAAGTTCTTTTTGCTTTTTACTGTCTGAAAACCTTGCAATTTGGAAGTACACGACCTGTAACATCAGTTTTGAACTTCTCACAACAGCCCAACCACCATGATTACAAGAAAGTTATCACCTAAACTCTAGCACTCAGTGGCATGGAATTGCTCTGTAAATAATTTCAACTCAAAGTCCTTACTGCTGATAATTTTAAGATAAAATAGATGAACAATATGTCAGAATACACCAATAATAACCAACAAATACACAACAAATGTCACTGCCGCACTCCTTATCGCAGTAGGTTCAGCACTCTCTGTCCTCCTACAATTTTTTTTTGCAGTCCTATCCATGGAACTGCCCTAGATTGTACGGAAAAATGTGTGTCTGTAAAATGTGCATGTGCCTGAATTAGCAACTTATACACCTTCCACACAAAGCTCTTAGCTGACATCACTCTTGATGAAACTTTACCCCAACAAGTTACTGCACCCAATCCCCAAAAGAACCTTCAAACTGCGAACTGATCACGTGGAACACTTGTGACACTATCTCACACTGGAGTGTAGGTGAATATGCTCCACCATCATATAGGCCCCAATCATGCATTTTAGACAAAAGTTTGAGTACCTTTTCTGAGTGTTCTAATGTATAGATACAAAAGCAACGATATAACTTAGGAATCAGTTTTCAATCTAATTTGCAAAAGCACTAAAACAGAATGAGGGCACATCAAGAGGCCTCAGACTTCATTGTACTGGGGGCAGCTTAACTCAAGCCAAGTGCAAGGAAAGATTTTAAATACACTCTAGATCATGAATGTGCCATCTGACATCACAGGCCTTCAAGGAAAAACGTATTAAAAGGACTTTTCTGTTTTCAATATCTGCCCATTGGAATTTATGTTAGAAGAGGCCACAGCAGGTCATGTTTGTTACAATGGGATATTTCAATGCCCATGGCACTGTGCCTCTGTCTCAAATCACAAAACGGAGACTTTTAGAATGCACCTAGCCCCAGACTACACAAATACATCATTATAAGGCGCAATCAGTGATGTCCGGTGAGGCAGAAATCAAAGTAGGAGTCATCTAAATTGACAACTATGTCATTTGGAAAGCTTATTGTCTCAGCTAAAAAGCAATGGACATATCCACCCTCGAACCCTGGAGTAATCAACCCCTACAGTTGGAAAGATTACGCATCAGCCTGGAACAGAGACACTTACAAGTTGTACGAAAGTGGCTGTACAGCTATCTGTGGGACAAAACACTAAGAAGCAGGCTCCGAGGAAAACACCCTCAGGAGGTATTTCTGATCAAAGGGAAGAGGTAAATAGAAAACTAAATACTGTTCTGTTTAAAGAAAGTCAGGGACAACGTGCTGAACCCACAAAACTGGCGAAAAATAAGGAATCTTCTCATCTTGCCAAAATCTGTGCTGAGGAACCCATGTTTACAGGGAAACACCAACTATCCAACAATTGAGGCTATCACAGCTGCTAGATCTGAGTTCAAGTGCTCATTTTTTTGCTTTAGCAACAAGGAACTCAAGCAACAGGCCCTAGTGATATACCACACAGACAACCTTCCTCTAAGTATTCTTTTGTTCCATCTGGACTTGTTTTAGCCTTGTTATCTGTAATTTCTTCTTATTAAATTTCTCTTTTTCCCCATGAAACAGTAATAACTTGAAATAAAGTTAAAGACTGCTTAAATAAAAGCTTGATTGCTGGTCTATTTTAATTTGAATCATTATGAATTTTAAAAAAAACACACAAGTTATATAAACCTAATTTCACTATGGACACCCCTTGTGATATTGGCAATGAATCTGAGGCAGGTTGCAGAATAGCCAGGATACTTCATAAACAAATAAAGCCGTTTCTAACACTATGAGAAAACTATGATCTAACACAGGGTGAGCTCCTATTGGTCTTGTAATGAGTTTACAGTTATGTTGCGTGCTTGCAACTATAATTCTTAGACCAGTACCATACTCATGCTTTCCCCCATATGAACTGAAATCATGTGTAAGCAGACTAAACAAAGGACACCAGTGAGTTTTTACAATAATCTAGTCGCTTTCATGGACATTTTGTTTTAAGCTAATATCCACAAATAGAAACATTTACTGAATTTGATTTCATTAGTTATCCTGGCAGAAGCTACACAAACGTTTTGCATGCTTATAACCACTAGACGGTGGGATTGAATAATTTTCATTGTTTCATGAGGTGCAGATGAATCAGCTCTACCACTAATGTGCAGAAGCATCTTTACAGCTGCCTGCAACTCTTCAATCATGGACTAACAAAACTGGGGCAAGGCATAACTTGGAATCAGATTGCAATGAAACATTTGCATCAGGGATATTTGAACTTTTCCAGATTGGTGAGAAAAGGGCATAAGAACAGTTAAAAAGAAACAGCTGCATTTACTCCTCCATTCCTGTCAATTTACCCATTCTAATGCGGCTGCACTTGGCAGCAGCGAACAACAACAGAAGCTTATAATTGTCAAACACCTTTAACATGATAAAATGTTTCAGGGTGCTTCATAAAACAAATTGTAACACTGAATAGCATGAGGAGATATTACAGTCATTGACTGACAAACATGGTCATAGAGGAACGTGTTAGGGAGTGTCCTAAAGGAGGAAAGCCAGGTGAAGGATTCAAGAGTTTATGATGTAGGCAGCTGAGGAAATATCAAATACTAAGTAGCATAGAGTTCATGTGAGAGGGGAAAAGTTTAAAGGAGATGTATGAGGTAAGTTTATTTTGTTTACACAGAAGGTGGTAAGTGCCTGGTGTGCAGCCAGGGAGGTGGTAGAAGCAGGTATGATAGCAACATTTAAGATCCATTTACATAGACAAATGAACAGGGAGGGAACTGAGGGATATGGGTGAACCATGTGCAGGCAGATAGGATTAGTTTAGAATGGCATCATGGTCAGTGTAGGCATGATAGGCTGAAGGGCCTGTTCCTGTTTTGTACTTTTCTATGTTCTAAGGCATTGTCATCAACAGTGCAGCAATTAAATTCAGGGAAGCTTAAAAGACAGCAATATGGAGAAGTGAGGATGAGGCTATTGAAGGATTTGAATACAAGGATGAGAATTTTAAAATTGAGGAGGCACTTAGCCAGGGGATAAAGATGAGTGAGCCCAGGCTGTTACTATTTAATTCTGTAAAGAGGATGCTAAATATGCATGATTAAAGGTGACAAGGGAAATAGATTCTATGAACTAATAAGTTAACTGTATTAAAATATATAGGAAAAGAAGAGGCAGCCAAAACGTTGAAAGGTTTTACAGCATGCATTTGGTTGAAACAGACCTAGAATCTAAAAGTATCTAACTTCTCCTGATGGTGAATGGGATTTGGAGGAGTCAGGCCATAAGCTGTAGTGTTTGAATGACCTGCAATAAGTGTTAGGGTTAAGGCAGGTAGAATGTAAACTAACATGCATATTACCAAAATGGCAGGCAGTGACCATCTCCAACGAGAGAATTTAATTATCATCCCTTGTTATTCAATGGTCTTACAATCAGCAACTTAACCACGTCAACAATATGGGGTTGCAGGGCTTTGTGAAGGAGAAATCATGTTTAACCAAATTGAGCTTTTTGAACAAGTAACATGTGCTGTGGATAAAGGGACACCAGTGAATGTATTGTACTTAGATTTCCAGAAGGCATTTGATATGTTGCCACATCAAAAGTAATTGTGGGAAATAAAAGCTCATTATGTACGGGATATTATATTGGCGTGGATAGAAGATTGGTTGGCTAACAAGAAACTGCAGCATGACTGTGTCATTTTCTAATTGGCATGGTGTAGTGTGAGACAGGGATCAGTGCTGGGGCTCAATCCTTTACAATTAATGCAAATGAAGAAATCAAATGTATGGTGGCTAAACATGCAGATGACACCAAGGTAAAAAAAGTAAGTTGTGATAAGGACAAAAGCATACTGCAAAAGGATATCGATACATTAAGAGAGTGGACAAAATTCCAGCAGATAAAAGTAAAATGTTCAAAAATGTGATCTGAGTGTCCTGGTACATGAATCACAGAAAGTTAGTATGCAGGTGTAGCAAGTTATTCGGAAAGCTATTGTAATTTCAGTTATTGTAAGGGGAGTTAATTACAAAAGTAACAAGTATATGCATCAGCTAAACAGGACATTGGTGAAACCTCAAAGATATCTATACATGTAGAACAGAGTTTTTAACCATCTAATATTTAGCTCTTCGGTCAATGATCAATGTATTTATACTGTGGTAATATTCTTACCTGCATGGTGCAAGGCTGTCTTCCCATTGCTGTCAACACATTCTACAGGACACTTGTACTAGTAAGAAACAAACAACAAATTTACAGAAGTTTGTTGAAATGCTTTACTCTGGAACTTAAGTTAGTGAATTGAAAACAGACACAATGTTAAATGAGAGACACTTCAGTTTTGTTAATCTGACATTACATCCTTCAGGACTTATACGTATTATGAATATGACAAGGCAGAGATGTTAAAGCGCTAGATTAAATAGTTAATTTGCTGAAGTATTTGACTTCTCGAGGCTATTATGCTTTAAACAGCAATTCAGTTGCAAGTTGAATTAATAAAGTTACCAATGAGTTTTGAATGATGACACAGTTATTACTTCTGCAAGTATAAAAATTAACCTTTAATTAAAGAGATTCAGAATTACATAATTCTACTAATACACAGTAAAACACAGGGTGGCATGGTGGCTCAGTGGTTAGCACTGCTGCCTCACAGTGCCAGGGACCTGGGTTTGATTCCACCCTCAGGCAACTGTCTGTGTGGAGTTTGCACATTCTCCTTGTGTTTGTGTGGGTTTCCTCCAGGTGCTCCAGTTTCATCCCACAGTCCAAGGATGTGCAGGCTAGGTGAATTGGCCATGCTAAATTGCCCACAGTATTCAGGGATATGTAGATTAGGTGGGTCTATAGGGGAATAGGTCTGGGTGGGATACTCTGCGGGTCAGTGTGGATTTGTTGAGCCAAAGGACCTGTTTGCACATGGAAGGGATTGTCTGATTCAAAACAAAGTTTTCAATTTTGATCATTTTAAGTCCTCAATTTCAAGTCAAAAGTTATGACATTAGTCTTAATGTTTAATAGCTTTGAAATGAAGAAGATTGGACTTTTAGTTCCAATGTGGCAAGAAAAAGACACTATGTAGCATAACAAAGAAACCAGCACATTCCTCCTGACTGAAAGGTGGAGACATTCCTACGTATCCCATCCATCTAATGCCTTCACATTATACATCTATGTTGAAGTCAAACAGGTCTCCCCTCTTGCCAACTCTAAAAATCCTTGAATTGTCAATATCAGGCCAAATTCAACCTTACTGAATGTCTGCATATAATCGTTCACTATCCTGCATTCCATTTATAGTTGAAGCTCCTAGAACTTCTAGTTGTAATAAAATCTCAGGTAGGCAGTCTCTCCTACACCAACACTTTTGTTTTCCTACCGATGAGGGTCACCGGGTCTCTCTGCTTTTCGGGTTTACAGAGCAACTGCACAGAAATCAGTGTAAATCGCACAGTACGGCATACAGCATTGCCACCCAACTTAAAAACCAATGACAGTTGGATTAATTAACAAGTACTTCCCACTTGTAATGTTACAGAATCTGGTTTCAGAATGGATGTTAGCCAGGCAACACTTCTAAAAGAGACAATTTTAGTTTTTAAAATCTGTTTCTGTTTCCCTTGCATTAAATATTGATATTTATCACTTTTAACTAGCTGCTAATTTCAATGTTTAGATTTTGTTTTACATTAGTATGTAGTGAAAGAGGAACATTATTCAAATAAATCAACTACACTTTTAGTAGAGTGCATTTTTAAACAAACAATGAATTTTGATTCCAATTACAGATTTTCTGCTTAAAATCACAGATGCTAAGCCCTGTCTCCATCTTCGTTGGTCTTCTTTTCTTCCAGACTCATCCAACAAGCTTGCCTTAAAAGAAAGGAATGGGTCAGAAGGGAGAAAAAGTGGAGAAAAGCATAGAGTTAAAAATCAAATAGGAATGATGAGTGTGCCATATACAAGAATGAATTAAAATAGATTGATGTATAAAGCATGAAAATAATCTAAAGAAAAAAGATCAGTTTTCATAGAAAAGGATAGTGATAAAAGGGGGACAATAACAGAGAAGAGGAATAAAGGGAAACAAGAGCAGGAGGACTAAGCCAAAGAGGAAGTGGAACACAAAGAGAGGTGGTGGATGAAGAACAGAGGAGATTTGTAGGGGAAGGTAATGTTACCAAGCTAACAGTTGAGAAATCATGCAGCCGGGGCTGAATCATTATCATAGTTATAGTCATAGAGGTCTACAGCATAGAAGGCGGCCCTTCAGTCTATCAAGTCTGTGCCAGTCAAAAATAACCACCTAATTGGGGGAAGGAAGGCGGCAACTGAAAAAGTGAGGACAAAAGAAATTGAAGCAAGTAGGAGAGAAACAAAAAGAGAGAGAAAGGGAGAATAAGGAAATATGCAGAAATATAATTTAAGATTCTCATTCACAAATATTAATAACCAGAATGCATTTGAGCAAGAATGAGTCTAAGAACATGTATTGCAAGCAAATACATTTGCGAGGGTGTCACATGATGAAGCTCTCAAGCACCTGTAGAGTGACTGGAAAGTTTTGAGTGTGACAATACTGGAAAATTGTAAAGTCTTACTCTACTGGAAATGTCTTGGCTGATTGGAATTTAAGATTAAAACAGATTAATTAACTTTGCCAAAATAAACAGGATATTATTACAATTTTTTGTCTGGGGCATTAAAACAATTCTTTCAAAAAAAAGGCAGCTTTTTTTAAGCTCATTACACATAATCCAGCTCCCATTCAATATAACATTACATTTTGTATCACTGTTCCGTTAGGCAAGCCGCAACCCATACCCTTCGAACAGCTATTACTTAAATTATAAATTGCATACAGCAAAACCATGTCATCCCTACCTGAAGAATCTTTCTCACACATTCTTGGTGACTATTTTTTGAAGCAAGATGCAAAGCATTGTAACCTAAAATTCAAGGAGGGAGAGAAAAGGTTAAATTTCTTACATTCATCTTTACTTTTTAAGCTGTAGAATACAAAAGTGCCACTTAAATATTAGCTCCCCGATTTTATAAGCACAGTGAGATTTTACAGTTTGACGTGTCCTTTGTAGCTATAAATTCTAAATTGTGGTTTTAAATTTGCAGCTAGAAATAGACTGTACTGGCAAATGAGAAACATAAACCCAGAATGTAACATAAATTTCATTCCTTTTTTCTGATTGAGCAACCTCCCAGCAAGAATATCTGTAAAACTGATGGAGTCATAAGGACTGACAGAAAAGAAAGAAGTCGTTTACTTCAGCATCATGGTGGGTCCAGCCCGGGATTCCAACCCGGCTTGGCCGGGGGGGAGGTGGGGGGGGGGGGGGGGGGGGTTGTTGGGGGAGGAGGTGGCGGTGTCAGACAGACGGGAGGGAGTGTCAAAAAAGGCAGTAGGGCGTCAGGTCCTCAGGTCCTTCAGCTCAGAACCATGAAATGGACAGTGTCTTAAATGCTCTTTATTTTCTCTTCTTTCTCTTTTTCTTTTTGTTTTTATGTTATTATCATGGTAGGACTGCT